GTATGAGTGTTATGCCTGCATGTAGGTAAGTGCACCTGTGTCATGCAGTGCTGTTGGATCCCCTGGAACTGGAGTTACAACCATTGTTAGCTGCCACGTGGGTGCTGGGATTCGTACCTGGGTCTTCTGTAAGAGCAACCACTGTTCTTAACCACTGAGCCATCTCTCCAGGCCCTCGTTTGCTTTTTAAAAAAAATTTAAAAAGAATTAAAGGGCGTGGTGGTGCACACCCTTAATCCCAGCACTCAGGAGGCAGAGGCGGGCTGATCTCTGTGAGTTCAAGGCCAGCCTGGTCTACATAGTGAGTTCCAGGACAGCTGGGGCTACAGGGAGACCCTGTCTCAAAAAGACAAAAACCAAAAAAAAAAATTTTATGTGTATGAGTGTATTGCCTTCGTGTATGTAAATGCACCTGTGTTGTGCAGTGCTTGATGTGGGTGCTGGGAACTGAACCCTGTCCTGCAAGAGCAGCCAGTGCTCTTAACTGCTGAGCTACCTCTCCAGACCCCTTTTTTGCTTTTTTAATGATACTAGGAATATAATCCAGGGCCTCACGAACTCTGGGCAGGTTGTCCTTCACTGAGTCACACCCCATCCCCCCACAGCCTCGTTTTATGTTTAGGTGACAAGTGGCTTTGTTCTCTAGCATTCTTTCAGGGATCTCTTTTGAAATGTGTTTAATTTTGATAACCATGTGGTGGTGGTCTTTTAAACATGTGCAGAACCTGACCTGTGACAATGGATCAGTCTGTTCCTTATGATTCAAGAAAAGCCCATCTTTATGGTTTAAAATCCCTGGCTGACTGCTTCATCCCAGCAGCATGAAGCTTGTTGTTACAAGTCTCCTTTCTGTGGTACCAAGTGGCCTCTCTGGTCTTCTGGTCACCTTGCCGTTTTATCTAGTACCTCTCCCCTCATGCCCTGGTTTTTTGTTTTGTTTTGTTTTGTTTTGTTTTGTTTTTTGGTCTTTTTGAGACAGGTCTCCCTGTAGCCCCAGCTGTCCTGGAATTCACTATGTAGACCAGGCTGGCCTTGAACTCACAGAGATCCACCTGCCTCTGCCTCCTGAATGCTGGGACTACAGGCATGTGCCACCATGCCTGGAGTGCCCTGTCTTTTGGGAACTGCACACCCAGATTGCTAAGCAGTTTGTTGATTAAAATACTGCTGCAGGGGCTGAAGGGATGGCTCAGAGATTAAGAGCACTGGCTGCTCTTGCAGAGTACTTGGGTTTGGTTCCCAGCACCCACACCATAGCTAGCAATCCTCTATAACTACAGTTCCCAGGGACCTGATGCCCTCTTCTGGCCTCCACGGGCATTGCACATATGGGTACACTTAACATGCAAAGCACTCATACATATAAATAATAAAAGTAATAAAGAAATAAATGCAGTGCCTGTGGATGCCAGAAGAGGGCATTGGATCTCCTGGAACTGGAGTTACCACACCTGGCCTTGAACTGAGGTTTTCCCATCTTAACCGTAATGGATGTCATTATACAAGTCTGTCCAAAGCTCATGCAGACTTGACTCTCTGGTGACAGGCAGGCTCACAAGTCAGACTGGAAAGCCTTTCACAAGTTGTTGGCAGTTTGCCATCTTTTTAGCCTTCTCCCCTTGATGGGAGGTTTATTGTGAAATGACTGTGGATGTGGAAGGGTCTCTGGCTTCATGGTTTGGCTACAGTGACTCAGGAGGAAGAAATGTGTGGTAGACCTTAAAATTTCATTCTCCATTAAGACCTTGAACTGGGTATAAATTTGGTTTGTTTCTTTTTCCAGTGACTGTTGTGTTTTGAAACTACTTTGTAGGGAGATGTGAAGAACAAAGTCGTTATAGCTGAGAAAGAAGCAGCAACGGAGGAGGTGGATCCCAAGGGCATCCCTGAGTTCTGGTTCACCATCTTCAGAAATGTGGATATGCTCAGTGAGCTGGTGCAGGTGAGGGCTTCTGCCGAGGGCCTCCTGCAGTCCCCTGAGCTGCCTGCTTTGGGGTTACTCTCACATTGATACCTGGGTGTTAGGAGATCCTTCAAGATGGATGGAAAGGCTTGCTTTGGAGGCAGGAAGTTTGGCAGCGACCCTAGTCCCCTGAGGAGGGGTCTGTGCCAGTGGGGCCCGTGCTCCTCACAGGTGTTGGCAAGGCTGGCGACTGCCCAAGCCAGAGCTTGAGGAGCAGTGCACTGCCCTGCAGAGGTCCAGTACTTCTCCCTCCAGGCCTTGTTTGTAGGTTCGTCTGGGCGTCAGCAGGGAGCCTGAGGACAGGCCGGCGGGAGAGGCTGCTTCTGCTGGTGGAGCTTTGTGTGGCTCCTCAGGCTTGGAGGAGCCTTTGTGCACCTTGCTCCTTCCTGCGTGTCTGATGCTTTGCTAATGTTCCCTGCCCGTTGCTCTTGAAAAGGTTGTTGAGGGGGAATCCCTAGCTTGTCTGTTTCTGTCTATGCTTCTGGGATCAGATAGCCAGTAGGAGGTGATGTTCGACCTGCCCTGAAGTGAGTCAGAGTAGCAGCTGTGGGATACAGAAGCCAGGCCACACTAACGTCGCCAACCGTCCTTCCACTGAGCGCAGCTGCGGCCCTGCAGACAGGCCATCAAAGCATGAGAGTTTGCAAATATGTTCTTAGTGGTTTCAGAAAACGTCCATGGTCTGTGTCCACTCCCTACGTCCACTCCCTGCCATGCTTATTGTCCTCCGTGCCAGGCTGAAGCCTGAGAAAGGAGTGGCTCCATGGCAGGGCACTTACTTGCCTAGCGTGCTCCGTCTTTCTTCCTATGGACCGCCTTCCTTCTCTTAAGCCTCTCGCTTAAAATCTGTATTAAACTATCTTCCTTAGGTGCCTGGTCCATCCAGCCCCCTCCTCCAAAAAGATTGAGCCATACTTCTAGAAAAAGTATTATGAGCCAGAAGTTTGTTAGAGAAGCTTCAACGTCCGGCAAGGCTGTGTCTGCGCCCTGGCTGTGTTGGGGTTCCCTGTGCAGGGTCGCAGCCATACTGTACGGCGGCCCTGGTGTTGCCTGCTACCACTGAGGCAGTGAGGCTTTTGTTGGACTTTGGTTCTTTGGTTCTTTGGTTTGCTTTTCGTTGTTACAGTGATGGGCATGAAACTCAGTCCTCACACAGGCTTGGGAGGGTTTTCCAAAGCTGCTCACACGAACCTAGTGTGCCCCAACAGTCGAAAACCCTATGCCAGGGAGCAGAGGAAGGCTAGCTTGTAGTCTTTGCTTTGTGACTTGGGAGGCTCATGGAAACGGGGTGAGTCTGGGGGGTAAAGGGTTAGGGTTCTGTTTGTTCACGTCCCCTGGGTGATGCCCGCACTGCTGGGTGGGGACACGCTCAGTGAAAGGAGGTGGTAACGTGATGACACCCTTGGTGCTGTGTTTAGGCGGTGGGTGGAGTGGCAGGCTCTTGGGCCGCTCTCTGTACGTGGGGTGGTGGGCCTTGCCGGTAACCTTCCCTTTGCTCTGAAGAAAGTGATAGAGGTGGTGGACCTTATGTGAGTGGGCGTCTCTACCCTCACCTCTCCGTGTTGGCACCACCGCTTCAGAACTGAAACCCTAGTTTGTCTTTGCTCCATTTTGAGTTAACAGCTGTAAAGGAGGTTGGGGTTTAGTGAAATAAGATTTCACGTGTGCTGTCATTCAGTGTGTGTCCAGAGAGGTGAAACCTCACCTTTGTCCTGGTGACGTGGCAGCCAGTGGTTACGGCATCTTCTGCTCGGGTGGATTTGTCCCACAGGAGGGTTAGTGCTAGATCCTTCGTTCTGCCCTGGGGCAGTTGATTCCTGTAAGCAGAGCGGTGAAAACTGGAGCCAGTGACTCCTCATGAACTCTGAGGTGTGTGTTGTATGTTATGGTGGGCAGGTAGCTTTCTAGACCATGAAGGTACTTGGCTGGCTGAGGGTCTCTCCCTTCCCTAGAGGGCCGTTGGCCACAGATCCACGAGGACAAAGGGAGCAGAAGCAACGAACAGGGTCAGGATGGCCAGTGAGCACCACGGAAAAGACCTTCCAGGGAGTCAGATTCAGTGATACAGCTCTGTTTATTCAGTGGGGGTCAGGGGAAAATATAGTGTGGAGGCAGCGGCCAAAGCTTCAGCTGATAGGTGCTCATAGTGTGCTTTATGTACATGTGGTAGGGGATCCTATCATCTGGCTATAGGGCAATGCCTAATTATCACATAGAAAAAACCTGGGGGCAGTTTTATTGCAGGTAACTATGCCAAAGGTCATGTTCCAAATAAAGTCAGGCATCCGTGCTTGGCGGTACTTTCCAGGTTAGTCAGGCAGAGAGCAGGAGGCCCCCGTTGAGAAAGCGAGTCCTTCCATATAGCGCTGAGCCCCTTAGAGCTATCTGGACATGGTGGATTACAACCTTAGCAGCAGGGTCCCCCAGCATCTCCCCCTGTTTTGTTTTATAATGGAGAAGTGTCATCACAAGCTTTAAGAGCCAACTCATCTGTCCCGGGAGAATCCAAAGTTTGATAATGGACCATGACTGTTTGGTAGTAATTTTAGCAATGGTAGTAATTTGTCAGCGAAGAAATTGTATGAAACAGGGAGCAAGCATCAAAATGACACACAGCATGATCAGGGGGCTAACATTGTAAGGGTGGGAGCCATGAAAACAAGGGGTTACTAAACCAACCTAAATGTTCAGTTGAAAATAGATCGTTACAAAGTTTTTTGAGAGTATTAATATTGGTCTCAACAACATTTGATACATTTACAGAAAAACAGCATTCCTCTCCCAGTACTACACACGTACCCCAGTGTTCAGCAGTTATTAAGTCCAGTGCTCTTCTGTTTTGGAGCACAACCCCGGCAAGAGAGTTCACTTGTCATTGGAAAGACTCAAGGCTGTCAGTCGTGGATGCCATTGCCTGGTCCAGCTTGTCTCAAAAGTCTCCTGCCAGGTGATGGGTTTGTACAACAGCAGCAGTCAAATCGCCTCTGGCACCCAGGGAGAGGGCGAGTCCAAGTCCCACTAGCGGGGGGGATGAAGATTTCTCTCTCCGCTGGCGGGTGTGAAGGAGGAGGGCGGCTTCCTCTTTCTCGAGTAGGTACACCTGGGGAGTAATCATCACCGGTACACAAAAGGTGGACAAAGAGGAGTTAACACAGTGTTGGGCTTTTCCTTTGCACCATAGGAAAAGAGGAGGGGTGATGCATGCTATCCTGGAGAGAGCAATGTTAGTGAGGCATTTGTAATGAGTACGCTTACTCTTGCTGGAAATGCAAATTGGATAGTTAGCCACATGTTCGAATAAGGGAATATCCATCAGATGAGAGTCGGTGAAATCTTTTTTTGTTTCTGGGTAAAGAAGGGTGGTATTCACTGGTACTGCTGTCAGTAAAGGTCTATTGCTGGATGCACAAAAGAAACAGTTAGAGGCATTGGGGTGGGTGGTGAAGGGAAGAAAGTTAGCAACATATTGAACGTATTGGCTCCAAGACATAGTTGATCTTATCTGGTCCTCTGTTTGTTTTTCCTGTAGAATAATATTATGATGAGTTAGCACAGACTTAGCTGCAGGTACAAGCTGTCGAGAGATATGAAAGTCAGCTGTAGGGTAGCTGGAGAATGCACCTGAGTAGAACTTTCCCGTTACTCCGACACGCCAGCGATCGTCCCATGGATCTGCAACATATATTAGGGAATAGTCATGGTTCCCATAGAGATACTTATTATCCTTTAGGTAGATGGTTCTTTCCTGTCCTCATATGCCCTGATATCCCCCAGTGAATCCTAGTTCCAACCTACAGGGATTGAAATAGCGGCAGCCCCCATAGGTATCAACTTCCTTGAGGCGTGATGGATCTGTCTGTGGAAAGGAAAGCAAACATTCGTCAGTTTTGTCTCTTCTAGCATTTGCTGTATTATGATTTCTCTGGGTTTCTGACAGCCCGCTAGGAGGCAGTCTGTGCTTCTGATTATTTGATTTTTTTCCTTATGTTTCCCTGACATAAACTCTCCAGAGCATAGTATTGGGTTGGGGGCTGGCTGAAGCATTTTTTGGGCAATTTTCTTTCCAGTGTCCAGTTTCTCCACATTTAAAACATTTTGAGTTGGGTCAGGTTGCAGCTCCAAAGGCCTGAGCAAGGGAGGAGGCCTGGTATGCGGCAGTCCCGATGTCATGGGTGGCCACAATCCATTTGTCGTAACGTTCATTTTTTAGTCCCTCGCATGCTTGTCTGTGCTCAGGGGTCATCCCTTCCCACACAAGGTTGTTTAAAAGCATTGCTTTGGCTGTGGGGTCTGTTACTTTTCTGTTTAAACTGGCCTGTACTCTTAGTATAAAGTCTGAGAGGGTTTCAGTTGGTTTCTGCTTTAGGAAGGTTAATGAGGAGGTCTCACCAGGCCCTGTGGACAAGGGGGTTAGGCGGTCCCAGGCCTGTAGTGCACATAAGCAGACTTGTTCAACACATCCAGCAGGAATTATAGTCTGCTGGATTCCTGTGGAAAAATTGCCCTGACCGAATAGTTGGTCATAATTCCAATCTATAAATCCAGGTGGTGGATCTTGTCTTTGTTGTGATCTTAGTTGTTGATTATGTCATTCCTTTTAACTTGCATCAGGCATTCATTTCTAAATAAAGCCTCCCATTGTACAAATAATGGACTGGGGAGGGTGGATCTACAGATATCTCTCCAGTCCTGGGGGGTTAGGAGGTTAGTATTAAAGGTTTGTAGTATAGATTTGGTCCATGGAGCATGGATCCCATCCTCACAGACGCTTGGCGTCGTTCTTTTAAGTCTGCTGCCGCAAGGGGGTACCAAGCCAGTGGACGTTGCCTTGTTAATTGTAAGTTAACAGGGAAAGCTTCTGCGGGCAGGGTTTTTGGGTCCTGAGGCCATTGTGGCTGAGGATCCTGGGGGCAATAACTCCCATTATCCCTGAGATTACAGAGCTGTTCAATGGCTGTGGGGCATGGCCCCCCAGATGGTGGTGCTGGCGGTAAAGGGGGAGGGGGATTTATCTTTGAAGTTTCTGGAGTCTGGGTTTTAACATCTGGGTCTGATAAATCAGTACTGAGGATTCATAGGGGGGGAAGAGGGGGGTAAAAGTTATTTTTGTTGATGGGTGGTTTTTGTCTGACTTAGTCAGTTTTTATTTTTTGGGCTGTTTGAATCTGTTACCGGGCAGTCTTTAGGGTCTTTTTCTTTATTTTTTAGGGCTGTCGAATCTGCTGTTGGGCAATCTTTAGGGTCTTTTTCTTTATTTGAACCCTCCCCTTTATTATCCCCTGGTGCTAGTAAATTCTCCTCAGGCTTAGATGGGTTTCCTAAGCATTGTCGGATGGCAGCTATTACGGGAAGGAAGGAAAAGGGCAAATGGTGCCTTACCTGGCTTTCCTTTTTACGAGCCAGATAGGCAACATGGGTCCAGACCTCCAGGCCGGAGATGCTTGCCAACAGGATCCAGAGTGTGAATTGAAATACTTCATTCCAAAATTTTGAGCCTTCGTTTTGGGAAATCTTCAGCCCTCTTGATTTAAGTAGGGCTCTAAGGGAGGAATTTGGAGGGTTTTTTGGCGTGATGCTGAATTCCCCATTATAGAAAAGAAAGGAAGTGTTCACTGTTCCTGGGGCAGCCTGCCACAGGGGATTGAGACACTTTGACAAACACAAGCCTAGCCGCAGATTTAAGAGACTGGCAACTGTCCTTATGACTTTTAACTGGTTGCTGTGTTACCAGATTTTTATGATAGTTGTAAAGGTTATTGCCTACACCCAGTTGGGCTGTCGGAGTCCAGAAAGAGGGCAGGGGACCCCGACCAAGAGGCTTCAGTTGCCCACGACCTGTATCCAGACCCTTGCAAAGGCATTAACCGAAAGTAAAGCAAAGAAAGAGACTCCCCTACCCCTTTTTTCTCACGGGGCATGTCAGTTTAAATTCTCACCAGGAAGCCTGTGGGGGCGTGGAGGACTACAGGAGAAAGCCCTCCACGTGGGGCTGACGATCCCCTTCCCCAAGAAAAAGTTTATGGACAAAACGGCTTTTAAAATATTTTCCGTTTGTCTATGGCGCAAGCCGCTTTAAATTCTTTAAGTGCTCTGCTGGCCACCACCACTTTAAATCCTTTGTTTTTGTTTACGTTATGGGGCACTTGGAGCCTGAGTGCCTTTTTATCTGGGGCAGGTCAATTTAAATTCTCACCTCACTGGTTTAGCTTGAGCCCAAGTGCCCCGGGAGCGAGCTAACAAAACAGATAAGGAAGTTTGTTATCTTAGAAGTTGAATTCAGTGCTTGTGTGAAAATCCCTTAGAACTTTGGGGATTCTTTCTAGGGGTATTGTTACAAAACAGATTAAGGAAGTTTGTTATTTTAGCAGTTGAATTCAAAGCCTGTGTGAAAACCCCTTAGAACTTTGGGGATTTTATGTTTCTAGGGGTGTTGTTCAAGATGGAAAAGGAAAGGGGGGTGAAAAGCCAATTCCTAGGGGAACATGCCTGAGAGCAAACACCACAGAGAATTCCACCTAGTCCACAGCACAAGGCTGCACACAAATTTAGAGATCCGGTGACTGTCTCTAAGACCAATTAACTTGTCATTTCGTTACCGGCTTTTGCATTAGAAAGATGTATAGATAGGGGGTCTTGTTAAGAAGGCTAAGAGCCTTTGGCTAACATCAGGGGGTAGCCCTGATCAGAAAGCCTCAATTGCTCCTTCCTCTTTAATGGTCCCACGTGAAGACTCAGACTGAAAATAAAAGGAGGGAAAAGAGGAGAAAGAGGAGAGACTGCCAATCCTCAAGGCTGGGATGGCCAAGGCGAAGCTGCCGCTACCCTCTTGTAGAGAGGGCGTACTCACAAACTCCGTGCGTTCCAGGAGCCTCACGTTGGGCGCCAGCTGTGGGTCTCTCCCTCCCCTCGAGGGCCGTTGGCCACAGATCCACGAGGACAAAGGGAGCAGAAGCGATGAACGGGGTCAAGACGGCCAGTGAGCATGACAGAAAAGACCTTCCAGGGAGTCAGATTCAGTGATACAGCTCCGTTTATTCAGTGGGGGTCAGGGAAAATATAGTGTGGAGGCAGCAGCCAAAGCTTCAGCTGATAGGTGCTCACAGTGTGCTTTATTTACATGTGGTGGGGGATCCTATCATCCGACTACCGGGCAATGCCTAATTATCATACAGAAAAAACCTGGGGATAGTTTT